TTTTAATATTTTAAGTAATTTTTTTTTATTTTTTAGATTCACCTAATCTATATATACTTAAGAAATATAATATTTTGTGATTTTTTTATATTCATCAAATATAAAAAAAAAATACAAAAGTTTAGTAATACTGTAATAAATGTGAATGATGATGTTTAATAATACTGTAATAAATGTAGGTGAATAGACGAAAAAGAAAAATGATGGAAATGAAAATGAAAAAATCTATTCATATATAAAAATTTATACAAAAAATATTATAAAAATATTGTAATAGTGATATTATTGTAAATATAACTAATATTTATGGGTGTTTTGTTTTAAAGTAAAATATCACCATTAAATTATATCATTGTTTTAAAAAATTTATATAAAATTTATGTTTGTAGAATATGTTCAAATAATGATAAAAAAGATGTTGAATGTGGAAATGGTAGGAAAAATAGCAAAAGCCATTTAAAAAATTTTAAGCATTACATCAACAATTTATGAGGCAATTTGTAATGAGATTACAAATCTTAGGGAAGAGAATGTAATTTTTCAAACGTGGAAGAAAAATTTGTATTAAACAAAAATCTCAGGGAATGTCAGTTGAATTTATCCTAAAAAGTATTATATTATATGTATTAATAAATTTTATAATGTTTTTACTAACTAATTTTAATAAAAAAAAATTATTAATTTATTTAATATTATTATAACAATTATTAATATCATGATAGGTAAGTTCAATTGCGAATTTATAAGAATGAATTTATTTTAAAAACAATTACACTGCAGTGGTGTAGAGACAATTAATTAATCAAAAAATTATAATTTTACTTATTAATATTTATAATATTTGATGATCGGAACAATTACTTATTATAAATATTTATAATATTTACTATTTTACTTAATTTATAAAAAAAATTAAAAAATAATTTTTAGTTCAATGATCCAAACACATATTTTTTGATATCTAATCAATTTAATTTTTTATAAACATAATATACTCATTAAATCTTAAAATATAAATAATTTAAATCATTAAAATTAGATTTAAAAATGAGCTAGGCCCAACGACCTAACAAATAAGAAGGCAAAGATCTTGTAAATAAATAGGAAGGCAAAGAGAGAAATTGCGATTGATTATTATTTTTTCTTGACATCGTTGTCAGATTATTTTTCTTTTATTTTATCTCTCAATTAGTCTATTAAATTAAATGAAATCATTGCTTAATAATGAGAGCATTTTAATGAGATAACTAAATTCAAGTGTTAAAATATGCATTATTTAACAAAAAATAATAAAAATAGTATTTATTTTTACAGTTTCCCGTAAAGCTACCAGAAGGACATGAACGGTTACTATCTCCACTTTTTAGGAGCGGGGTCACTCCTGTGCCCTTTCCTGTTCTGTTGCTGCTGTGTCGTAAAACCGCACTGTTTTATATTTATTTTTTTAAAAAAAAATTTATGTTTTTTATTTTAGGATTTAAGATTTAATTTTTAAATTTTTTTTTTTTATTTTAGAGTTTAAGGTTTAATTGTTAATTTTTTTTTATTTTTAATTTTAGAGTTTAACGGTTAGGGTTTAATTTTTAAAATTTATTTTTTTTTTCTTATTTTAGGATTTAGAATTTAGGGTTTAATTCTTAAAATTTATTTATTTTTTATTTTAGGGTTTAGGTTTAATTTTTTTTTTATTTTAGAGTTTAGGTTTAATTTTTAAAATTTATTTTTTTGATTTTAGGGTTTAGGGTTTAATTCTTAAAATTTAAGATTTAGGGTTTAATTTTTAAAATTTATTTTTTTATTTTAGGGTTTAGAGTTTAAGTTTAATTCTTAATTTTTTTAATTTTTTTTTTATATTTTAGAGTTTAAAAAAACATAGTGAGAACATAAGAGAAAAAAAAAATGGTGAATCAGTGCCGTTTTACGGCACAGCAGAAATAGCAAGGAGGCACCGCGGGGACCCTCTATCCACTTTTTAATCGGTCCATGTAAGACACAAAAAGCGCCACAATTTTGCACCATCTTTCTCTTATAAAGATGGTTACATTGAATTTTTTTTATTTTTTTTTTAAATCAAAAGAGAATATCCAAAAAAATAAAATAAAATGTAAGAACATATCAAAATTCAAATAGAGCCAAATTGGGTTGAATTAAGAGAAGTTAATGTTTACCAACATAACAATTATAATTATAGCCATTTTTTTATATGACAATTTAAATTTTTACAGAGAAATTTTATTGAAAGACCTTAACAAGTTAAAAAAACATATTCAACCTCTCCTTACTACCAGAGTTAGAAAGGAAAGTTTCACTAATATTTTCTATAATAAAAATATAATGAGGTACTAATTATAATATAAATCACAATTATATATAAAATTTTAAAATAAAAAAAAGATTTTAAATAAATACAATAAGAATAAGATTGGCACAACCTTGTCCCCACCCTACAGGATTAGGGCGTGACTGACCAGTAACAACTTGCCATCAAAGTCCATTTATACAAAATTCAAGTGCTCATGTGGATTAACTTAGGGTTGTGCGACTAAGCCAAGATCATGTCTAATAAAATGGAATAAAAAATAAAAAAATAGTGAATTCATGCAAACTCACTCATTAGGCCAATAACAGTAAATCATGAGGTTTTGGCTGTTAGACCAATTTTGTAAGTTGAGTTTGATTTAAGATCAAAGAGGGAAAAAGTGTGGAAAAATATAACAATAATAATTTCTTTTTTCGCATTTATTTAACATAAAGAGTATTGGAAAGTGCGAGAAAATAACATTTTCTATATAACTCATACCACCATGGTAACTTGACTTTGAATTCTTCCCCCCCCCCAAAAAAAAAAAAAAAAAAAAAATTTGGTTCATTCTCTCGAAATACCTAATGCACTTTTGGATCTCCATTTCTCCTATAGCACCAAAACCTAGCAATTTTTTCTCAAAACTTCAATTTAATAAAATGCATACAAGAAAATAAACATTTCTTCCATGTAACTTTCCATCATATTTTTCTCCACAAGCAAACGAACCCTAAAACATGAACTGTTAAAAAAGTAAGCATAAAATCCCAGCTCAAACATAGAGAGTTACGCAATTATAAATATAAAAAACTGCAAAATAACAAATATAATTTACAAAACAAATACATTATACAAGAGTGAAACTCAAACAATAAATTTAAAAATAGAAAAATCACACACAGAACTAAATACAAAAAACAAAACGATTGATAAGATTTTTAAAAATAAGCTCCGTTAATTAATCTTATAAAATCTTATTTATTCATATACTATTGTCTCCAGTGTTCTGTTTTTGTTGTTTGAAGTAGGAAGCAACAACTCAGCTGGAATGCTTGTCAACAAATCTACACAAAGATCTAAACGCAATTATTTATGCTTTATCTGTATGTCATTGTTATCTACAAGCCACTTCAATCAAACTCACAAAATTCACTTACTATATCAACAGTTTTCAATGATATTTTTCATTTAAGTCATCTGATTGTGACAACCAGATTCTAGAGCCCACACTAATTTTTTATATTTAAATAATAAAATAAAAAACAAATATTTAAATCAAGCTTCTAGATTTAAAAAACTATATTATCCTTCTATTATTCTTTCAGCACTAATTGATAACTCGAATTTGAATTTGTTCAAAATCGCTTGAATTTTGACTTACCGATCATTCAGCTAGTCGTCCAACAAGAAGGTGAATGCCGTGGTCAACAAGGGTGGTCATCCAGACAGTCATCCAGTAAACACAAATTCAGACTCTCAAACAAACAAAAATTCAAGCTACCAATCATTTTTCTTATTCTTTTCAGCATTTTAAGCTGCTGAATTGTCCAATTGATTGTCTTCAAACAACCATGATGAGTGCATGCATCTTTGCTAAAGCTATAACAATGATTTGAAACAAATCAGGATGGTGACAATCAGACCCCACTAATAATTCTCAAAATCAAGCAACTATTGACATCAAGAGCACATAATCGCCTGTCTCTAACCTCCTGTGAACAAGGTCATGTTCATCTTGAAAAATCATTTGATGCTCAGGAACACCATGTGACTCATATAAACAGATAGTCCTTGTTGTTTCCCGTGCCACAACAATCAATCGTGGACCCTATGTTGCCACAAATTTTCAAAAATATAAATAACTAAAAATCATAAGCAACCCCAATAAGTTGTACCGAACAAAAAAAATACACGTATTCCATGATGAGTTTTGTGTTTCATATTCACTAATATATGTATGTATATTAGTGCTAAATAATAGAATTCATATGCAATATTTGAACTTGGCACCAATGGCTGCCTTAAGAAGGTATTATCAGAGTGCCTGTTCAGAAAACCTAACCATCTGACAGTTCAAACCTTTAAATTAACTCATATGTTATGACTACACAGCATGATTATACAAGGTTTGTCTTTAACCCATACCTGTCACATCAAAGATAAACTTTAAGGGCATTGAAGAGTAATCAGAAAATGATCCTGTGATTTGTTAGTTTATACAATGAATGCAACCAAAATAAAGACAACACTCTGAAAAACAATAGTCTATCCAGCTACTTTAATACTACAGTGTGCAAGAACAAGATAACACAAAAAAAGAGAAGAGACAACCTTAGTTCACAAGCCTATTTGCCTCTTCAGCAAGCTCTGAAAAGAAGAGAAACAAATGCGGGGTTAATTGAAGGACTGCTAGCAAGACCTTGTGTTATATACTTGGAAGTAAATGTTCAACAACCTTATCAAACATGAAGAATGAAGAGAATAATTAAAGGGCAGTGGTGACTGGCCCAAAACAGCCACACACCTCATGTTGATCCTCCCTTGGAACTGTCAAGGAGTGGGGCGACCCTTGACAGTTCGGTTCTTGCAAGAGACTATCGGCTCATCACTCCAATATTGTTTTTTTAATGGAAACTAACAATCAATCAGGAAGTAGAATTCTAAGAAATTGAGTACTACATGTTGCATCGTTTTGCCATGTTTCAAAGAATGAATAATACAGATTTCGCAAAGACTTGGACCTTAGATCAATGTTCTTCCAAAATCATTGATAAGTCATATTTACAATCTACAACACTTCTAACAATTCAATTATTTATGAAAGTATAAACAATTTTGAGATTAGCATCTAAATCTTCTGAGCATGTAAGGTGGCTATAGTTTAGAATGATAAAGAAGCTGGCATATGATGAAAAATTAAATTTGAAATAAGGATGAATCAATTTTGTAGCATTAGTACCATCTGCAAAGAAAAACTGATCTTAAGAAGCTCTGCCCTCTTTACACCATCCATAGAAATTGACAGAGCAGCTCGATTGATTGCAACTCTTGTGACTGATCAAAAGGAATGGGCAGCTGCTGGGACAATAATGCATTCCCCACCCAAAATGATCAGCATCCCAGTAAAAGATATCAGAAAAACCAAACTGTTCCTTGTCTTTTTCTGATATAACCTGTGTGTAAACATAAAAGAACAAAATCCTTAGGGGAAGTCCTTTATATATGCCCATTGTATGTAATTATCCCTGACATATCAACTACTCTAAGGAGATGTAAACCAAGAAATTTTTAAAAGGAATACTAGCAATACATTTCTTTTGGACATTAATCACAAGCAGCTTCTTGTGTTGGTAATCTCCATCTTCTTCGAAGAACTTTGTACCATTTTATCAATGAAGCCCACAGCACTCCTGTCCCCCCAAATGCCCAGCTGTCACATCCATATTGGTACACACAGAGCTCCATTCCCTTTGTTTTTATCTTCTTTTTTTCCCTTTTTTAAAAGAATATCTTACATTCTATAACAAACTATATTAATAGGAAAAACTGTGTGGGTAAAACAACCCCCAATGCCTAAGAAAGCCTCAAGACAAGTACTGTTAATATTGAATATACAAACTTGAACACCTTTGACAATTATTTCCAGGGTGTCCTCGTGCTGATCCATTGCATACAAAATATCGGGATGGTCCACAACATAACATAGCCAGAAAAACTATAGCTTAGTCAAATCTCGAATGTAAAGACCAAGGCTCTTAAGATTTTCAAACTCTAGAATTCACATCTTCTCTTGATATTTCTACCGACTGGTGTGCAACAGATACGTCTAATACAGCATTCTAAGATGGACTTCTACGCTTAACTAGTTCTCTCGGATTCCTGCATGTCTTTAAAGTATCAGACATTGCCTTGGCTTTCTGTATTATATTTGTTTTCCTTGCACGTGATGCATCTTCATCTATGGTATATGTATTTGACAGCTTCATTGAGTGAGGGACAGTGATCATCACATTACATAGTTTTCGAGCCATTTCAGTCATTCCTTGTATCTTTAGTTCATCAATCATTTTCTGATAAGTAACATACTGAGGAACAATACTCCTCCCTATCATGCCCTCAAACTCTCCGAAAGCCTCCTCAAATCTATGCATCTTGCATAACAAATGGACCAGCATGGTGCATGCAGCTGAGTTCAGATCATATCCCCTAGCTTGCATTTCCTTTCTAACTTGCATTGCCAGGTCCAGTCTCTCCTGCTTGCACAACAACTTAACCAAAAGATGGTAAGTGAGCCGGTCAGGGGTGTATCCATATTCCATCATCTTGGTATAAAGGTTCAGTCCCTCCTCAATTTTCCCTAACTTTGAGAAGTACCTGAAAAAGTAATTATAAGTTGTAGTGGTTGGCATAAAACCTCTACTAATCATCATCTTAAGGATCTTATTAGCCCCTTCAAGATCGCCTGCCTTGCAAAAACCTTTCACCAGGGAATTGTACGAGTAAACAGTGGGACCTGATTCCAAAACCAGAAACCGTTCCATCATTCCTAATGCCTCTTTAAATCTTCCTGCTTCCCCTAATGCATCAATTATTGGATTATAAACAATTGCATCTGGTTCAATTCCCTCCCTTCTCATCTCATCTAACAATTCAACTGCCACCTCAACATGACAGATCTGACAATACATTTGAACAAGGATACCATACGTTACAACACTGGGCTTCACATTATCCTTTTTCATCTCATCCCAAAGTCGTTCTATGCGTTCAAGCTGTCTTGATCGAAACCACCCTTTCAATAGTATATTATAAACATGAATTGACGAAGCCCAATAAGGGTCTATTCCTCTTTTCCTCTCAATATATGCTGATGCTTCCCAAACAAGTCCTTCCTTGCAAAAGGAGTCCAATAAAATCTCAAACAAATCCAGTTTTGAATTTGAATTGCACATTAAGTCCAAACTGCAAGCAAATTCCAATGTTCTAATAGCAGGTAAGGTCATACCTGCAGAACCATAAACAATGTCAATTATGCATCTAGATAATATATTATATATCCAATCCACATTAAACTAAACTCTGAGTGTTTGGGGTTACATAGCAAGCACTAAATAAACTCATTATGCACTACGGGCATCTCCAACCCTCGACTCAAACTCATATCAAATTCAAATTTGGGTAAAATGGAGTTTTACCCTTTTTTACCCAAATCAAGAGAGGCTCGAATGTTTACTCAAACTCAAATTTTTCAAGATCATTTTGAGCTTTCAAATTTACAATTCTGGCATTCCTGAAGCTTTTACTCAAATTTATGCTTAAATGTGAGTTTGCGTCCATAGGAGTGCTTCATATCAAATCAAATTAAGCTTTTACTAAAAACTTTACTTGAGTAGAGGCTGGAGATGGCCTAAATAACTCATTTTCATATACGACACATCCATGCTGAAATACTTGCAATTTCAAACGTCGGAATTGCGAATTTCAATATATTGCAAGTTGATAACAATCTTGTATTATCCAACTGACAAATTGAGGCTAAACTAAATGAAGATTGCAATGTACAAAACCATAAATTGCTGAAAAGGGAGTACCTGCGCGAGCATACCGTCGAATAAGAATGGCAAAGGAATCCATATTTGGTCCCTCGATTGGCCGTTTGAGCCGATTCAGAATCAAACACCACGCAGACTCAAACTCTTTAGCTCTAGCAAACACCTTGACCATGGCGTTGAAGATGTCCACCGAAGATCTGTACCCGGGTTGCCTCTCAGACCAGAGGAACAGACTGAGCATGAGTTTAGGAGACGAACCAAAACGATCGAAAATCTGCTGTAACAGAGACGGACCCAATTCGATTCCGGTCCGGTCCAAGGCAGCTTCGATGGTAGGACCGGGTAGATAGCTAGGGTTTGTGAGGAGGTCACAAATGGTGGTGAAATCATTGCAGTCAAAATTAGGGTCAGGCTTGGGTCTGATGAGGGATTTTCCGGTGACGGAGAGAGATGATTGATTGGAGAAGAACCTGTAGCAGCGACTGGGTTTTCGATAACTAGGGTTAGGGATTTTAGATGTGAGGAGGAGGAAGAAGGCTTGAGAGAGGAAATTCGAACATGTGTGGAAGAAGAGGCTGTTCATATGTGTGTGTGTGTATATGCATGTATAGAGAGAGAGAGAAAGAGAGGGAGATGAAGATACAAGTGAGGTGAGTACTGGAATCTAGGGCAAGTTTGAGATTAAAAAAAAAAAAAAAAAAAAAAAAAAAAAAAAAAAAAAAAAAAAAAGAAAAAGAAGAAAGAAGAAGAAGATAAAAAGACAAAAAGTTACTTAAAAAGTTAAAAGGTTAATGTTATTCATCAAAAGTCAATAATTATGGCTGCACGACTCCAATTCGAATTTTTCACTATAAATCAATATTTACAATTTTTTATTACATATTTTTTCATAAAAAGTCAAAAAGTTAACCCAAACATCTATATTTTCAAACTCAATTTTTTAGTTTAAAAAGACAAAAAATGCACTTATTTAAGACACTCCAAACAACCCCTAATATTATTATTTTGGGCCCTTTAATTAGACCGAGTTTCAGTTTCACATTATTTTTTTATTTTTTTAACCCATACATTCAATCTTCAAGGTCTGCTGTCGGGACATGATCGTAAAAATAATCCCACAGGTTCATTTTTTCATTAGTTATTTTGGTTATCTCTGGTGCATTTTTTCATTAGTTATTTTGGTTATCTCTCTCGTTAGTGGTGACTCATGAGAAACACTATGTTGATAAATGGGATTCTGACTTTCATTGACGAATATTTTTTTACTGAAGGAATAACTTGGAATAGTTAGGTTACAGTATATCTTTTGATTTCTATTTTGCAAACTAGATATCCATAATTTCCATCATACGCTAATAGAGGATTATTAGCAAATTTCATTCATTTATTGAGCTGATCGCTGAGTGAAAATTTTTTATATGGCCAAGGTCTTCAATTGAGAAGCCTTGGGTATCTTGGAAATGTTGAAGTTACTCTAAGGTACATTTTATACTTGGCTGGGATGCACCTTATTCCTTTCCATTCTGATAGCTTGCTATCAATTAATGCTCCTACATAGGGATGATGCTCTTCCATTACACAAAGTACTGCATGAGCAAGTTTATTTCAGAAACTATCTGTATGATCTGGATCTGAGAAAATTATTCTAGAGACAACGCCATAATCTAACAATTGTGAGGTTGTTAGATAACGCGTTTTGCCCCTAATTTCTATCTTCAGTGGCTCGAACATTGCTAGATTTATCTGGCAAAGGCAGATGCTGAAATCTAAATTACATTGACATTTATCAAAATATTCTGGCCTGTCTATACATCTTTTTTCTTGTAAGCAGGGCTGCTCTTCATCATCGTAGAGATAAGTTCATTGATAAGCTATACCAGGGCAGTAAACTCATGCTATGGAGAAATCCTCAAGAAACTGTTGTATAGTGACTAACTCACTATTTCTACTATCTTCGGCTAAGGTGTATATATAAGGTTTAAGGTCCTCTATTTCTTGGTTTTTCTCACAAAAAGATCGAATGATAGAATGGCTGAAGAAATACATTCTAGCACTCAATTGTTCAAATTCCTCACTGGTGAGTTGTCTGGTTTGTAGGTCAAGAAATAGAGTGGGTGCTTTTTCTGGAGTTAATTTTTAAGCTGGTTGGTTAGAGTTCGAATGGTAGCTCTCAATTGTTTTTCTTCGTCTCGGAGGTGGTCTAGCTCTTCACTGATCTTTTTGCCTTTATCCATAATTTTCTTAAAATTTCTGGTAAGGCCTTCACAATGTCTGCACATTTGGAGAGGATTTTGAGAATCTATCTGAGGGTTAGTACTACTGCTTCCAATTATCTAGCTAACTGGAACTCCACTAGTAGCAAGAATGGTTGACTGCATATTGTGTAATGTGTCCAGATAATCTTTAGCTATTTGGCTGATAAAATAACTGGTTCCTATTTGTCTATGGGCATATGTACTGGCTGACTCGAAATCATAAAATCCTTTAAACTGAGGTATGGGAAAATTTTTAACTAAGGGTTCAACTTCTACCCAATCACGGTAAATACCAGGCTTGGTTCCTTTAGCTACTACATAAAAAGAAAAGCTTTTAGACAAAAGTTTATTCTGGATTTTTGAAAAATATATACTAAGAGAATTTAAGGCTGACAAACGTTTAGCTGGGTGGTTATGGTTGTTCCAAAGGTTATCTAGAAGACACTGTTGAACTGGATTTAGCTCGATTCCTGTTAATGGTCTGAATTTGTTTCTGCCTTCACAAATGGGAAGGGAAAATCTCCCAAAGTTCATGGTTTTGTTGTTCTCCATTATCTGCACAAAAATTAAATTGGTTATTTTCTTTTTCTAAAATTTTTTTTCTACTTAGTCAATCTGTTAATTTATTATCACTCCGTTTAATATGTTCAAATTCTACTTTATATTCTTGTCCTACTATACAATCTAAAAATTTGGCCCATCTTCTGGTACTTAACTTGTGTTCATTAAGTTTATTATGAAATCTAACTATAGTTTCTGTGTGGGTGATTTTCCGACCACACTGCCCGCTTAGTAACCAGCTGGAGAGCACTGGCAGAATAGATGGCACCTGACGGACCTGCAACAGAAATATAAGAATCCCGTGGTGGTTTCGACCACCCGGGGGCACTCCGACGATCAAGTCAGTATATCTCTCAAAGATAAATCAAGTACTAAACTCACAAGCTTGAGTATCGAAAGCATACCTTTGACCCATGGGGGTGCCTCTCTTTTATAGCCAATACAATCCTAGTCCCAAAAGGAGCCTCATTAGTGATGACTTATGAGAGACACTATGTTGATAGATGGAATACTGACTTTCATCGACGAATGTTTCTTTGTTGGATGAATAACCTGGGATAGCAAGGTTACAGTATATCTTCTAATTTCTATTTTCGCAAACTAGATATTTATAATTTGCATTATACGCTAATAGAGAATTATTAGCAAATTTCATTCATTTATTGAGTTGATCTCTAAGTGAAAATTTTTTGTACGGCTAGGGTCTTCGATTGAGAAGTCTTAGGTATCCTAGAAATGTTGAAGTTACTCTAAGGTACATTTTATACTTGGCTGGGATGCACCTTATTCCTTTCCATTCTGGTAGCTTGCTATCAATTAATGATTCTATATAGGATGATACTCTTCAATTGCACAAAGTATTGCATGAGTAAGTTTATTTCCGAAACTATCTATATGATCTGGATCTGAGAAAATTGTTCTAGAGACAAAGCCATAATCTAACAATTGTGAGGCTGTTAGATAACGCGTTTTGCCCCTAATTTCAATATCCAGTGGCTCAAACGTTGCTAGATTTATCTGGCAAAGGCAGATGCTGAAATCTAAATTACATTGACATTTATCAAAATATTCTGGCCTGTCTATACATCTTTCTTCTTGTAAGCAGGGCTGCTCTTCATCCTCGTAGAGATAAGTCCATTGATAAGCTATACCAGGGCAGTGAACTCATGCTATGGAGAAATCTTGAAGAAACTGTTGTATAGTGACTAACTCACTATTTCTACTATCTTCGGCTAAGGTGTATATATAGGGTTTAAGGTCCTCTATTTCTTGGCTTTTCTCACAAAAAGATCGAATGATAGAATGGCTGAAGAAATACATTCTAGCACTCAATTGTTCAAATTCCTCACTAGTGAGTTGTTTGGTTTCTAGGTCAAGAAATAGAGTAGATGCTTTTTCTGGAGTTAATTTTTTAAGCTGGTTAGTTAGGGTTCGAATGGTAGCTCTCAATTGTTTTTCTTCGTCTCGGCTCTTCACTGATTTTTTTGCCTTTATCCATAATTTTCTTAAAATTTCTGGTAAAGCCTTCACAATGTCTGCACATTTGGAGAGGATTTTGAGAATCTATCTAAGAGTTAGTACTACTGCTTCCAATTATCTAGCTAACTGGAACTCCACTAGTAGCAAGAATGGTTGACTGCATATTGTCTAATGTGTCCAGATAATCTTTAGCTATTTGGCTGATAAACTAACTAGTTCCTATTTGTCTACGGGAATATGTACTGGCTGACTCGAAATCATAAAATCCTTTAAACTGAGGTATGGGAAAATTTTTAACTAAGGGTTCAACTTCTACCTAATCATGGTAAATACCAGGCTTGGTTCCTTTAGCTACTGCATAAAAAGAAAAGTTTTTAGACAAAAGTTTATTCTGGATTTTTGAAAAATATATACTAAGAGAATTTAAAGCTGACAAACATTTAGCTGGGTGGTTATGGTTGTTCCAAAGGTTATCTAGAAGACACTGTTGAACTGGATCTAGCTCGATTCCTGTTAATGGTCTGAATTTGTTTCTGTCTTCATAAATGGAAAGGGCAAATCCCCTAAAGTTCATGGTTTTGCTGTTCTCCATTGTCTGCACAAAAATTAAACTGGTTATTTTCTTTTTCTAAATAAATCTTTCTACTTAGCCAATATGTTAATTTATTATCACTCTGTTTAATATGTTCAAATTCTGCTTTATATTCTTGTCCTACTATACAATCTAAAAATTTGGCCCATCTTCTGGTACTTAACTTGTGTTCATTAAGTTTATTATGAAATCTAACTATAGCTTCACAGTTTGTTCTAATTGTAAAGGGCTTGTGTAAGAATAACCTAAATTTGTTTGCATATACTATTCCTAATATCTCAAAATCTAGGCTGGTCATGGTCGTGTCTTTTTCTTTAAATTTTTCAGAGCTATATCTACAAATGCGTTCTTTATTTTTACTATCACACTTGCTAGGTTTAGCTAATAATATTGTTCCCCATCCTAACTGACTTGCATCTGTTTCTACGACTGTATATTCTGATTTAAAGAGAAGTTGTAGGTCGGGTAGATTTCTCCAAATGTCTTTAATTTTTCTAACTAAAGCCATATCTTGTTAATTGAAATATTTTTGCCTTGTAGGTGTGGACTTACTGTATAGGGGTCCTATTATTTCACTAAGGTTAGGAATGTACATTTGTGCATAATTTAAAATTCTTAAAAATGATTGAAGTTGTTTTGTATCTTCTAATTTATCTGGGTAATCTAAAATTTTCTTTACTATGTGAGGTTGTAGCCTGATTTTTCCATCTCCTAATTCCATTCCTAAAAATTCTATATGAGATTTATTTAATACCATTT